CTACTTTTCCTGCCTGTTGCCAGGGAAGGTTGGCCCTCCAGGGGACAGGAGCTATTCCTTGGGGGTGGGGGGGTGCCAGATAATTGGGCCCTTGGGTTTGACATCTCTGCCCTAGTGGGAGGGGAATGTGAGAAATGGAGTGATGTGTAGAGAGTTGTATTGAGGAAGAAACCCACCACCCCAAAACCAGAACTTCAGAGACAATCCAGGCTCAGACCCTTCTGACCATGACAGCTTGGTTCTGAGCTGTGTGTCCTGAGGTGGAGGCTCCACCTTCCTCCCAGGACACAGAAAGGGGCCATGGACCTAGAGGGCTAGTCTCCAGCAGGCCTTAGGACCCTGCCCCTCCCCATCAACTTCTGGGGTCTTAAATGATCTGCCAGACCCCAGTGCTGTCCCAACCTAGAGTCTGCTTTCTCCTGAAAGTTGTATGTCCTTAATCTAGCCTGGTTTTGGCTCCTTTACTTCCTCCTGATACTTAAAAAAAAATTTTTTTTTTTTTTTTGGTTAGGGGGAGGCTCATACTGCACAACTGCCCCTGTGTATAGTCCCCTAGAGACGCGGGCCAGGGTCAAAGCTTCCTTGAAAAGCATGTGATTGGGGCTAGGCTGGGCAAGGCACACATTTAAAGCGCCTATTGAGGCTGTCGTTGAAGGGGCATGGGGCCCAGGAGGGGGGTCTAGTAGAGCCTGAGGATCCTGGAATATCCTGGTGTGGGAACCCTTGGCTCCTGCTGAAGAAGGTGGGGGAGAGGAGAAGAGGGGAAAAGCTTGCCAAGTTGGACTCTTGCCTGGTCCCATCATCCCTCCCCTACCAGTTTGGTGTGCCTGCCTGTTTGTACAGTTTCTCCTTTATAACTGCTCCATGCTGGCCACCCTGCTTCCCATCCACCCATGTGGCGAGCCCACCCTGGGGCCCTGACCCCCTGACCCTCCATCACCACACAGGAACAGAACTGAAACTCAAGCTCCCGACAAGTTAGGGTGATGGGTGATCAGTTTTAGAGTTTGAGGTCCTACGAGTAGTGATTGTGGCTGTCAAGACTGGAGGTTGAGTGGGACGTTGGCCCTGAAGTTGGGGGAAGGTGCCTGGGTTCAGTGGAAGGAGGGAGAAAGTTTCCTCTCATTCTCTGGGAGCAGCACAGGCACAGGAAGAGAACGCTGTTTCAGGGGGGTTGGGGCTGTGGGGGTGTGTGTGTATGTGTATGGAGGGGACAACTTCATGCAGTGTCTCATAACTCATGTGCCTTTTGTGTGTCTGTCTGCCAGGGACAGGCAGGGGGGTGGGGTGGGGAGGAAAGGGGGTGAAAGATGGCTGAGAGTGGAGAGTCTTTACCCCCTCAAAATTCGAAAAGGCCTGATGGATTGATGCCACTGAGGATGGATGGAGGCTGGACATCTAGGAGAGCCACATGGGGAGGGGCTGGAGAGTGGCCCGAGGTAGGGAGTGGTAGGAGTTGGAGCTGAAGGGGACCAGACTTGGCTGGTTGGATGGGAGCACATGCTTGAACACAGGGGCATCCTGCGGTAGCATCTAGCAGTTCCAGGCCCAAAGACACACACACACCCACACTTCCCCCTGAAGCAGCCCTGGGGTGGGGGCCAAGGCACCCTGGCAGGCCGCCTGCCTGCTGCCTGCCTGTCTGAGTCTCTCCTTTGTGCTCTGCTCTCTCCCGGCTCCTCCTCCTCCCCCAGCCCAGCAGAGACAGCACATGCCCCACACATGTGACTGAGGGAAGCCAGAGCACACACAGACCCACACACATGCACACGCGGAAACACCAGCAGACACACACACACACACACACACACAGCTCCCATAGTGCTCCTGGGGTGGGACTCTGAACAGCTTCTGGAGCGGAAATGGCTAGTGTACAGGAGAACCTTGCTGAGGGGCATCACCAGCAGGATGCTGAGGGGGTCAGGGGCCTGTCTGGAGCAGCATGTGGCTCCGAAGGGTTAAGGCAGGGAGGAGTAGGGGGAGGGGAGGAGGCAGCAGTGGTGGCGGCTGGGAGCCAGGAGAGGATGGCAGAGCGCCAGGCCAACGGGAGGCCGGGCACAGACAAAGGAAGGGGGGCAGGCACACTGGAGGCCTGGGTCAGGGAGCCCCAGGGGCCCGGGCAGGGGACAGCGATGGCACCTCGTCCTGTGGACTGGAGCAGGCTTGCCATCAGTTCCCCCCTTAAAGAGAAGTGCTCTCCCTCTTCTTTCTCATCCGCTTTGTTATTCTTTGCTGCTTCCAGCTCCCCCACTCCCCCAACCCCCAACTTAGGACCTCCTAACTCAGACCTGCTCTTTGCATCTGCCCTTATGCAACTGGAAATTGGGTCAGAACTGAGAGGGGACCAGGCTTCCCAGAAAAAGGGAAAGAAGAGGGAGCCAGTTTGGAATGAGAGGCCAGTCTTAGGAGCCTCCTCGTTGCGGAGACAGGCTGGGTGGGGGTTCTGTACTCTGAGCCTTGTGTTCTGAAGCCAGAACACAACCCCATTCCCTTGCCCCCAGCCCTCCCCTAGTGTGGACAATCATTTGAAGCCTGCAGTGGGCATCTCTGGGAGGAGAAAGGAGAAGGGCTGGCTGCCGTGCTCCAGGGCTGGACCTCTGGAGGGGTTTGGAAGCCCAGGGGCAATGACTTCAGACTCTCCTGTCTCACTGTGTTGTGCTCACTTTGGGACAGTCCTTGGGCCTATGTGCTATAAGAATCTCTTGAGATACTGAATGTGAATGCACTCAGGAAAGTTGAAATATATGTAATATAAGGGAGTTGTCCTGTGGGGTTCTCCAAGTGGCACTTTGCATTTGAGAGTCATTGGGAATGTCAAAGGCTTAATGGTAGGCAGTTTGCTCCAGGGTGTGGCTGAATGGCATATCTTTTGGTGTGTTTGGGAAGGCTCCCGGGGCTGTGGCTAATACAGCCAGACTGTGATCGGAGGTGGTGTGTACCTTTCAGGGAAGAAAGGTACTTGTGTTAGGGTTCTCTAGAGAGATAAAATTGTGTTTATCGGCCAGGCTGGCACAATAAACTATCTCAGTACTTTACTGGGTAAGTTGCTGAGTACCAAATGGTTGGGGTGTATATGTTACTCTGTCACTGGCTCAGGAATACCATTATTTCAGTATGTGTGTTTGGATCAGGATGTACGTGTATCATAGATTCCAGTGTATATGGAAGCCAGCTCTGACAAGGGGTGTGTGTGTGTGTGTCTCCCCTGGGTTGAGGTGTATTTAGGATTAAGTGTGTCCCAGGTATCAGGTACAGTGGAAGCAAGATAAGTTATTTATGTGTGTCTCGAGCAGTGGTTCTCAACCTTCCTAATGCCATGACCCTTTATTTTTTTTTATTTTTTATTTTTATTTTTTGCCATGACCCTTTAATACAGTTCCTCATGCTGTGGTGATACCCCAACCATAAAATTATTTTCATTGCTACTTCATAATTGTCATTTTGCTACTGTTATGAATCGAGTGACCCCTGTGAAAGGGTCATTCGACCCACAAAGGGGTTGCGATCCACAGGTTGAGAACTGCTGGTCTAGAGTAAGCTGCCCAGAGCCAGGTGCAATCTGGTTGCACTGTCACCTGGTGGGTAGGTCATGAGAAATCTTGTCTTGGGGCCCATGTATGAATATGGTGAAGGGGAAGGAGGGTATAGGAAGCAGCCACTCATAGTAAAGGAAGACTTCCACACAGACAAGTTGTGTGTGTGTGTGCCCCTGCCATGCCTTTATCTAGCCAAGCAGTAGGATCTAGACCACTCCCCAAGTTCTAGAAGCACCTCTACTTTGGGATGCCCTTGGAGAACAGGCTGCATCCTGCTAATAACCACATGCTTTTTTCCTCCCAGGGTTTGTGGGGCCTGGAGAATTCAGCAGCTGATGGACCCCTTCAGGGACCCTCAGATGGGTTACAGGCACATTTGCCTTCCCAAGCTCTGTCAGGACCGTCTGGGTCTGGCCTTGGAACTTAGCGAGTTGGGGGTTAGGGAAACCAGCAATTGTCCCTGTCTCAACAGTATTAACTAGCTGGAGTCAGAATGTATGTCTGTCAAAAATAACATTCCCCCCTCCCCCTCCCCAGGAACCGCCCCCCAGCTGCTCTGGGATTTCATGCCAGGGACTGAAACCCAGGGTGGCAGCCCAGGCCAGCCTTCCACCTGAGCCCTCAGAGCAGAAGGAGAGAGGTTTGGGGCAGTGTGACTCAATTGGGGGGTCTGCAAAGAGGAGTGCGCCCACCACCATCCCTGCCTGTGGCTTAGGCTCCCCAGTACCACGCCTGGAGCTAGGAGAGGGCAGGGGGTGCATTTCGCACCTGGACCCTGCCCTCCAGGCCTCTCCCTCACCCTGGGCCCTCCCCGCCCCATCTGCTGGGTGGCTGTCTCTGCCCCTGTCTCCCCCAGTCTCTGTCTCTCTTTTGTTTTTCTCGGCTGGCCCTCCCTTCCTCCCTCCCTTTCGGCTCCTTCTTCCTCTTTCTCGGGG